GTAGGTCGCTTGCCTGCATCAATGATCACGTTAAAGTTGTAAGAGCATTTTCCAGAGCCCATTTAAAGCTTTCAACATAGTTATTTCTACAATGTATCATCTCTTGCAGTCTCGGTGCAAGCTGAAATGGAATTATACCTGTTCGCTTGTTCTTAGAAGTTGCCAACAAAATATAATTGAAGAAATTTTAGCTCTTTATTTGTTAGTGGCCCTGGGGATCCAATCCTATGGTTCACTAATAATGTTAGCACTGAATGAAGTCATTTGAAATGCACTATTGTACTTCCTAATGTTTTCCAAGTGTTTTGACTTGAGTGGCACCTGAAAGAAGAAGCTTCAAAGGCTGTGGCAGATCTTTCAAGAATGGAATCTTGACACTGCCACTTGAACAGTACATTCCAGGAGTTTTTTTCTTCAAATTTCTTGGCTTCACATTTATCACATACTTTAGATAGACCTTATTGTTACTTTCTTTTCAGAAATGTAGTCATGCTCTGGCTGATAGTTAAAGTCAGCATAGTGCCACTATTCCCAGGTAAGGGCAGCTCTTCTGTTCCGCCAACCCACTTCCTTTATTGCCTTTGTTCAGTAGTTTCAGATGATCTGCAGCCCTCCAGGTTCTATCAGCTTCTAGTCTTTCGTCTCTTTCTTCATGAAATGCAACTGCCCTGCTAGTAGCCCTCTTAGCTTTTTTTCCTGCCTGATCTTCTGCAGTCCCCTGGTTCTTTTGGCCTGTAGTCTTTCTTCTCTTTGATCTGATGTTTCAACAGCCTGATGTAAAGAATTTTGTGCACTTTTGGCTGCAAATAAGTTTCTCTTTGTGTTCTGGTATCCTCCATCGCTCTCCTTGAGAAGCACTGGCATTTTCTTTCGCTTGAGTTGCTGAAACAAATTTGATCTTGTGCTATAGTGATGTGTGGGACTCCAGGGTTAAGATGAACAGTTGGTTTACCCACGCCAAAAAGATTAAGGATGGATGGTAATGACAAGGAATACTTAGCTTTCTTGGATAGGTGAAATATTCTTTGAAATGCCAAGTGTTTCGTTAAGCCAATAATATAATCAGAAAGTAATTTGACATTGGTGAAAATCTGAATGCGTGAACAGAAATGAAACTTTGCACATGATTTTGGATGCTCTTCCCTTGTTGATTTAATTTTTCTTATAAAATAAGAAAAAGGATTTCACATGAGATTTCTATTTTCTTTTTTTTTAGGCCCCACAGGTAATTCCTTGTAAAAAAGTTTTTATTAGCCCAAAGAAAATTTCACAGGCTGAAATTTTTTTTTTTTTTTAACATAACTTTTTCCTCAGCTCGGCCAAATTTTAAAAATTCAGCTATAAAGGAGTATAGCAATTATTTCATACACATAACTTAGGTACCTCCACGAGAAAAAAAAAAAAAAAAAAAAATTTTTTTTTTTAATTGTTCCTAGCATGTCCAAAACTTTTTGTTAAAAATCTTGTTTTTTTTTTTGGAGTCAGCAAAATTGACCATTTTTTTCCATTTTATAAAAAAACAGGAAATCTCACTTTGAAATTCTTTTAAATATCAATTATCATTTTTTCGAAACTAATTTTAAGAAAATCAGAAATTATGTTTATTTAAAATATTTTGAACCAAGCTGAAAAGATGTAATTTGAAAATAAAACAAAGCAGGTCATAAACTTTCGCGTCACTTGACAGGTGATGAATGACATATTGACGGATTCCGTGAAGCTAATTTGTTCTACGGAAGGAGAAAAGTGAAATAATTTACATTTAAGTGAACAAATTATTTACCTTGTTATTTTTAAGGAAAAATTTCAGCGCTCTAATTTTTCTTTTTTGTACTTAGCTTTCACCTTTACGGTGCTTTATGGAAAATATATTATAAAGAAATTAAAATAAGACTGTTAAGAGTGAGATTAAATTTCATAAAAAAGGTATCTAATTGATAGGTACATTTCTTATGAAATTTTATCAGAAGTGTACATAAAATAAAATACTATAATTTTATGTACATTTATTACATTTTATGGAGTTATTTGTATTTCTGTTCATTTTATTATTAATTTTGATATTTCATTTATGGAAAAATGTCATAACTGAGATTAATATAAAAATAAGATCATATACATTTCATAAGATGATACTGATACTTGTAGGTACCCTTCTCAGTCAAAATTGAAAAATCAAATTAACTTCACACGTGTTTCGCAAAAGTAAAGGCCTTAACAGCGGAGAACAATGCTTAATTCAAATAACGCAACTTAATTGTATTCTGGTTGGTTTTCTGTACGTTATGATTACAGCTTGATTATAAACACAAAATTACATTTCTTAATTACTGCAGATCTTCTGATTAGTCAAAATGATACAATTTACAATGCGCTAAAAAAAAAAAAAAAAAAAAAAATCTATCTCATAAGGGGACTTAAGAAACCTGATGCGACTTAACTAATTTTATAATATTTTAAAAAATTAAATGTAAAAATCTATTATAATTAAGAAATAATTCTATTAATTCATTTTTCATTGAAAAATTTTTTTGCTTTCAGAAAATATTGTCCAAAAGCAAATGAAAGCATTTGAAATTAAATAATATCTTTGTTTTATTGAGTTTTGTATGTTACAATTCAGAGCTGTTTTTCAGGTAGGGGGGGTCCAATTAGAAAAAAAAAAAAAAAAAAAAACGTGATTTGCATTCCTCAAAGACTTGTGCTTGTAATCATTGAACTAGAGTCAATCGAATTTCTAGCGTTTTAATAAAATTAGTTCGGGGTGGGGGGTAATATATATATATATATATATAAAAAAAATTTCTGCCATGACTTTAATAAAAAAAAAAAAAAACACAACATAATTTCAATCATCTGTGAATAGTTCCTGAAAGTTTCATTAACATCCGACAATTATTTATATTTTTGCAAAATTTTCCAAATTAACGTGTGTCATACCAAAAAGACATAAATGTTATTTACTAGTTCCGCTGATACAAAGAGAAACAAGGTTTTTTTTAATCAAAATTTGGAATGTTCTAAAAAGAAGGAAAATTTAAAAAAAAAAAAAAAAAAAAAAAAAACTTTGGTTTTTCCTCTTAATAATAACAAGCATTTAGACAATAAAAATTTTGGTTTCGGCAAGGTTGGTGTCCTTTTCATCAAGCTTTACTTTTTTTTTTTTTTTTTTAGGTGATTTCGTGGAGGTACCTAACATAACTTAAAGAAAAAAAAAAAAAAAAGAGTCATGTTTATACACATCCAGAAACAATGTAAAATTCTTTTAAAATACTGCTCGTTTGCAGATTGTAATAAGCTTTTACATTTATGACTAGTAAAAATAGTTTTTATTTAATAACAGTGCATTGAAACTGAATTTTAAAAAGATTTAATTTCATAAATTATTGTAATTTAAATTGTTAAAAAAAAAAAAAAAAAAAAAAATTTTTCATCAGAAAATTTATTTGGTTTCAGACAATATTATCCTTTACATATTATTCATGAAAGCAATTAAAAGCTTTTCTAATTCAATAAGGTCTTATTGGGGTTTGTCTTTTACAATTCAGAACTGTTTTTTGGTAACTGGCCTTTCGATTTTAGATCGTTTGTTTTTATTATTATCCTTGTTTATGTTTTTTTTTTTTACTGCTTTTTTATGCTTTATCCTTTAAAATAATCTTTTAATATATCATTTACTGTTCTCCACCAATTTTTCTTTATAAAAAGACATGTGCTTGGTTGTTGTACAAATATACACAAATAAATAGATACATACACAATCTTTCTTTTATATAGACGTTTTCATTGGTCCCAAGAAAATTTCACATTGGTTCATAAATGTTTTGTCTTCAGCTTGCTGGTCAATCTCTTTGAACTCAAAGTTTAAGTAAGGCATACAAATTTCTTTGTCTATTTCAGCTTGCCCAAATTTCAAAGGAGTAGTAAAGGGAGATACTATTAAAAAGATGTGTGGGTCAGTCGTTGCACAAACAAACATACAGGCACAATCTTTTATATATATATATATATATATATATATATATATATATATATATATATATATATATATACACACACACAAATGGGGGTAGAAGTACAATAATCAGAAATTGTGCTTTAAACTCAGTAAATATGAAAACGCTATCTGCATATTATTGGAAGATTAAAAGTGAAGTCAGTCCCTAAAATTACTTGGAGAATTAAAAAAAAAAAAAAAGTAATACATGTAAAAAGACTAGGGATAGATGTAAGCTTTGCCTAGAAGAAAAATCTGTAGATGTAGACATAACATAAAATACCTATTGTACCACCTAGCACTGGACTAGTGTTTTTCTCCCCAATGAACCCAACCTCCCTAGTACAACAATTAGCAGTTTAGACCAACCTCTGTTTCTTTTCTTTTCTTCCACCCCCACTCCCCGGTGGAAGTAATGAAAATTTTTTTCTCCCTCCCCATGATGCTTTAGGGCAATTCATGGGTTTACATAAAGCTTGCCCCTCCCTTCAAGTTGTCTAAAGAAACTAGTCATCCTTTCATAAGATTTAATGAAAAGTAGTTTTTGCTTGGTTTAGGCAATGTAGGCTTTGAGCATTTTGAGTAGGCAAGTTTGCCTTTAGGCCCTTTTCATCATTTTTTTTTTTCAGTATTGTCATTTGTATTCAAGAGACTGTATCTGGATAAGAGTTTTAGGCTTTGCTAAGTTGCCTGTTAGTCCCATCAAATGTTTTTTTTTTATATATATATATATATATATATATATATATATATATATATATATATATATATATATATATATATATGATAGATAGATAACACCAAATGAACTAACAATTTCATTGCAAAGTTATAGATGTATATATGCAAATAGTTTTGTAAATGTTTATCTCCTGACTGTTTCATAAATCATTATGTATGTGTATGCATAAATTAATTTATGAAGTTTCATGAGCAGAGGACAAGACAAGTGTGCAGTCAACACTTAAAATTGATGTAGTTTAAGAATGAAGAAGCAGCTTACCTGCAAATGCCTTTGCTTCATCTGTAGGAACAGCTCGTAGATGCCTAAGATCACTTTTGTTGCCAACCAACATAATAACTATATTATTATCTGCATGATCTCTCAATTCTTTCAACCATCTTTCTACATTTTCATAGGTCAGATGTTTGGCAATGTCATACACTAATAATGCCCCAACAGCTCCTCTGTAGTATCTGGAAATTGAATACAGGAAAGATCAACAAAGCCTTTTCATAGAAAATTTTCTTACATTAATTTCCTAATCTAATACATTAAGCCTAGCACATCCTATGAGAAAAGGGACAGAGAAAGTTTCATTTAAGTGTGATCAGATTTTAAACTGATTTTGTTGTAAACTTACACAAAATGCATCCCTCCACAAATCAAGGTTAGAATTAGGTTTACAAAATTAGGAGAAATTATTTTTGAAGAATACCATAGAATCACTATGTGCCATATATTTATATACATGGACACAGCTTGACTGTTAAGTGATTAGAAGTTATTTTTATTAACTATCAAATTATATTTACCTTGATTTAAATTTTAAAAAAGCAAGAACTGTTAGAATCACCTTGTTCGATTTAACACCTTTTTTTTTATCCATGTTGATTCATTAGAAGTCACTCTTATAAAAGAGGAGAGAAAAAACATGAACAGAAAAATGCTTTTAAAATCATATGCCAGATATGTCTCATTTTATTGTTGAAAAGGTTAGCTGTAAGCATAAGTTTTATTCTAATAGTTTCCTCTCTCATATTTCTTGTTTGTGGAAGTCTCTTCGAGTTCCTTGCTTTCCTGTCAAGTACTATCTTAAATAATTTATGTGTTACATCAATTGCCATCTTTAGTGTGTGTGTGTAATACTTACTGCTTGACAAAACCATGGTTTCAGAAAGGTCAGTATTTTGGATATTTTATATCTTAACTTGCCTTACATTTGTTTCATGAGAATTGTATTGAGCCCTCTTAATTTAGTCATTTTTTTTTTTTTTTGTTGAATATCACTTTTTGCCAAAGATTGAAAATATATACATGTATGTTTGTGTTTTTTTTTTTTTTCTTACTTTACCTTTAATTAGTTTGCCAACACCTAGAGGAAAAAAGGTTTTAAAATTTGATGCTATGTGTTACTTAAAAATAGGGAAGAAAGACTCCCCCGTGTCCACCCCCACCCACAGGTTGGCAAGTTTCAGGTTCACCTCTAAATTGCTTACATTAATTCTAATTATTTGATTACAGTTAAAACATCACAACAAAAATGTAGAAAATCATAAGAATTTTTTCTTGTACTTTTACATCTAAAAATATTAAATCCTTTCAAGCCTAATGGTCTGCTTTCATTTTTTACTTTATAAACTAAAGAAATACTTATTGGGTCCATGTCATTCTGTATTTTGAGGAGACTTTTGACAATGGAGAAAAGAAAAAAAAAAAAATTACTTTCACAAAATATACTTTATAAAAAAACTGCTAGTGAATGATTTCATATAAATAGAAAATTGTCATGCATTATTTTTATTGTTCAAATATATCTTTTCAATATGAGGGTTTATAAAATTTAAAATGTTGAGTAACAATGCATCATCTGAATTTTTTTAAAAATTCAGAACCAAAATGACCTTAAGAGCAAATTGGTAGAATAGAATTCACTAGAGTCTATGGAAAACAAAAGCATTAAACCTTGTAAAATCTGAAGGATACAGTCTATTGAATACAGAATGTTAACAATATAGGGGAAGGAAGGTGAATAAGAAAGGTGGTAAGTAAAGATATATGTCGTCAACAGAGAACTATTTGTAGTCGTAAGCTGTATAGGGATGATTAAAGCTTGTCCAGGCTGAATTTAGAAATTTAAATGTTTGGAAGGGGTGCATAGTTGACATGCAGAAACAAAGTCCAGTTGAGGATAGAAAATTACCTGGTTGAAGTTAAGTGAAATACTTACGCACTAGTAATTGCTCGGTATCGTTCCTGACCGGCAGTATCCCATATTTGAGCTTTTATAGTTTTGCCATCAACCTGGATACTCCTGGAGAAGAGAATACAAAAAGGCAGTGAAAATTTATTTTTTAAAATTTGTTTGTATATATATATATATATATATATATATATATATATATATATATAGCAGCATAATAAAATGTGTTCTTTTGGATAATAAACCAATTCAGCATTCATCAACTATAACATCTAGCAAACTGAGCAATATATTTAAATGTACTGCTTGACAAAAACTGTTCCACGAGGGTACAATAAATTTCACATACAAACCAAGACGAACCCAGGCACTTTGCCAATCTGTTTAAAATACACTCATTCTTATATGTAGCAAGTTTATGAACAAATGCCATAACAATTTCAAATAAACAAGCAAGTACCAAGTAACTATTTTTAAAGATTCTTATGCAGAAACATTCTAAATATCACCACTATATATATATATATATATATATATATATATATAATTTATATATATAATTATATTTATGCTCTACTTTTGTATCGAACACTATTTTTTTAAAAATAATAACAAAAATACTAAAGAATTTTGGATTTTTTTACCTAACGAGTTCTTTCCTATTTTCTATATATTTTTCACACACATATATATATTTTCCCCTTCCCACAGGAGATTTATCTATCTGTTCCTATATGTATTTGGACAGTATTGTGCTGCTTTTGAATTTGAAAAATTTTATGGCTGTAAAGTTTTCCTTTCAAATCTGAATAGGAGTTTCAATGACCACCTTTGCAGTAAGTCAGTATATTACGTTTTTTTAGGGGGGGGGTCTGTGTACACCCGCCTCTGATCAGACAATTATATTTAGATCTACAGGTACAAGAACAAGGGGAGCATTAATGCTCGTCTTATACAATATTTTGTATTTCCGTTTCTTTACTGACTGAAGTTTTGTCGAATATTTTATTCAGCACTTTTCAGAAGAGTTTTTCAATTAAATTAATAGTTGCCCTACTCAGGTTTTAATGGTATCATTAAATGGAAGCAATTGAATAAAATCAAATTCAGTAGATTTTCTCCATTGAAAAAAAAAAAAAAAAAAAAGGTTAGAGTGGTAGCTGCTACTTTCATAATCCATTGAGTTATTGAAAATTTAGAAGAAAAAAAAAAAAAAAAAAAAAAAAAAACATTTAATTTGAATAGCATTACAATGAGACTAATTAATATATATATATTTTTTGTGTGTGTGTGTGTGTGTGTGTGTGTGTGTGTGTGTGTGTGTGTGTGGCTAGCTGCATGGTCAAGTGGTTACAATATTTGCGTTCTGACCATCAGAACCAGCCCATGTTTGAAACTTTTGGCCAATATATAAGGAAAGATGTCATCAGCCTGGGGAGGCAATCCCAATGTGCAACACAGCTGCAAAGTACTTTAAAACCATACCAGGGGTTGATCCAAGTCTTGGGGGTGTTAAAAAGGGTAAACAGAATTGTTCGATGTTTATGCTAGCATGAAGTAGATGCCATCTCTTCCAGAAATTGTAACTAAAATCTGCTCAGCATAGTTGCAGTATAAACCACAGGTTAACTCTGGGAAATGTGCCTGAGCAGGTTTCTGCAACGGGTCTGGCTAGCTGCCCAAGTAGACAGGCATAAATGCAGCCAGTCATTTTATATATATATATATATATATATATATATATATATATATATATATATATCTATCTATCTATCTGGAATGTTCATGTAGATTTTTAGTTGTTGGTGTTTCAACACTAGAACAGGGTCAAATTTATCGACAGATATAATAAGCTTACATTTCCAATGAGAGCGCACTTCAAACTGTCTCTTGAAAAAAAAGTTTAAAATTACTTAATTCATGTCAATTTTGGATCCCTATGGAAATGGAAGATAAGGTGCATTTTTGACATTTGATGTTTTTTATTACCATAAAGGCAAAAACGCCTTGCAAACAACAAAAAAGATGTGTGCTGCATATGGTGAAGGTGCTTTAGCTGACAGAACTGCATGGTTGTGGTTCACTAAGTTTAGAGTTGGTGATTGTAGCCTTAGTGATGAAGAACGCAAAAACGAAAAAAATGAAGGCAAAAAACGAAAAAAAATGAAGGCAAAAACCCCACTACATATGACAACCAAATCAAGTCATTCATTGAGAATAACCAGCATGACAATGCGAGAATTGTCAAAAACAGTAAATTTATCAAAATCCACCATCCATAAGCACTTAGTGAAGCTTGAGTACTAAAATCATTCTGATGTTTGTGTACCACATGATCTGAGTGAAAAGAATATTTGGATTGTATTTCATCTGTGATGAGAAATGGATTGCTTACAACAATGTTCAGCAAAAATGATACTGGGGAAAGTGACATGACCCAACTTTAGCCACCTCAGAATCAGGTTTTCATCCTAAGAAAGTTATGCTGTGCATCTGGTGGAATTGGAAAGGAATGCATGATGAGATTCTTCCAAGTAACCAGTCAATTGATTCTGACAAGTACTGCTCATAAATGAACGAACTAAAAGGCAACAATACAGGAAAAATGCTCAGAATTGGCAAACAGGAAAGGTGTTTTGTATTAGGAGAATGCCAGACCTCATGTTTCTTTGGCAATCTTGCAAAAATGTTGCAGCTTAGCCGAGATGTGTTATACTACCCTTCAGTCACCAGGCATTGCTCCTTTGGATTTTCATTTGTGTCTTTACAAAATAATCGCAAAGGGTAAAAACTAATTCTTTGGATGATATAAACAACCACCTGAATGAATTCTTTGTGGAGAAACCACCAAAATGCTGGGAAGATGGAATCTAAGTTAAAGGAAAAATGGAGAAAGGTTGCGCAACAAAATGGTTCATATTTAGTTGAATAAATATTTAATAGCATAATTTTGTTTTCTATCTTAATTTCCTTTAAAAATTGGCATGAACTTTCAGGAAAATTCAATAACATTGGAGATTGGATACACATACATACATATATAAGCCACACACATGGTGTAACAGCAAATTTGTCCAAATTGTTTAACAGCATGGGATAATTGCCCATCCCACAAAACATTTAATATCTAAAAGCCACAAAACTAATCGAGTTTCTTTTTGCAGGTTTTCAGACAAGACATTTAGCCATCTTCACATCATTTGTCATAAGAATCACTGAAAAACCATTTGAGTTATTCAGCTAGAAAGACAACAGCTTAAGATTATTCACGCCTTCAGTAATGGTAGCAACATTCATACTCTGGCTTCCATCTTCAAAGTCCATTCAAGAACCATCAAGAGAATGGAGAATAAGTTAAGAAAAAAAAAAAAAAAAAAAAAAAAAAAAAACAGTAGAGAGGAAAACAAGATTAGGAGATCACAACAGGAAGAGGGATCATCACTTCAACTTAGAGCTAAAGAGATCAATTAGAAAATATCTAACTCAATTCCATAAGTAGTTTAGCACATGAGAGGAGTTTCAGTTATGCCAGTCCAAAGAGCAGTGAAAAAAACTTGAAAATGAAATTATACCTGAAACCTGTGAAGCACCTTGTTACTGCAGGATAGAAAGTTAGATCCTTAGCTATGATTAATTAATGATGAACATGTTATTTTCGTTTGACAGATTTCACTTTTTCTGTTAAGCTTGGAGTGCAATTATACATTCTTGTTGTTCAAAGTAGACACCAATAGTGTTATAAAACCCTCAGAGAATTCCAGTAAGCTATCTTTAATCATTTCTAAGATACGATATTTTGCTGTTACACCCAGTATATATATCTTAAGAATCAATTAAACCACATTAAGTTTAAATGCAAAATGTTTTCCCCAAGTCGATTGAAATGCATTAAGTTAAATCCAGATATTATTTTAATACTTCTAGAAAGGATTTGCTCATAATACTGATCCTTTATATATTTGACCTTTAGCATATGCAGAAAACAAAATTTAATCTAAATCACAATGCAGACACATCTATAATCATTTTACTTGGCATACACATTTTGAAATACTTCATATATGCTTTGCTTATCTCAAAGTAGCCAAACAAGACTTCAGCATTTTCAAGCTTGGCCCACTTGATACCAACTAACCTCAAAGCTATTTCCTTACTGCACCTTATATACTCAAATATTAAAGGTTAAATAAAATGTCAGCTTAACTATGTCTTATGATTTGATTTTTGACTGTCATCTTTATCCCAAATTTATTGTGAAGCACAACTTTAACCATCAAATGGTAGATACATCACCAATTATTGCTTTGCCTATTCATTGCATCAGTTTCAAGTTCAAAACCAACTAGAATTAAAAATACTTTAGTTTTTTTTTGTTTTTTTAATTCAATTCCATACCCATGTAGATCACCAAAATTTAAATATGAATTTCTATTGTCATTATATAAAAAATATTCAAAACCTTAAATTCTAACCAACATCCTGCAAATTCAATTTCCCTATATTTATAAGAGCAACTTTAAAATCAGTTAGCCACTTTACAGTTTCAAATGTTGTCCTATGACAACGACAAAATTAAAACAACTTGTAAACCAATAATACACACATATATATATATATATATATATATATATATATATATATATATATATATATATTTATTAAAGTATATGTCAAAGTATAGCCTCTGGATTAATCTTTGGTCAGCCACAATTTTAGCTTAATGAGAATGAAGATTGTTATGCCAGACATTTTTTTTTTTTTTTTTTTTTTTTTTTTCAACAGCTATCATTGTAATATTTGTATAAAAATGAACATAACTCCAGTGAAAACATACTTGAAACAAAATATTCATTTTCATAGAGTAAAGCATTAAACTCCAGTGATTTGTCGGACACTTGTACTGATTAACATTAATCATTAAAAGTGACACAAAATTTATAGTTTATGCAATAATGATATATTTACACCATCCAGTGTTGGGGTGGAGGATCCTTTTATTGAATATAGTTCACTAAGTCAGTCCATGTAAATCCTCATTAAATCTTCTTTAAAAAGATTAAAGCCCAGCATCAGTAGACCATACCTCGCAAACAATAGGTTCTATCTCAATT